TTCTGTGAAATATGTACTGACCCTCAGAGCTTTTGAAAGAGGCTAGGCTAATAGCAGTGCAACGAGAACAGTATTACCTTTTTTTTTTTTTTTTTTTTTTTCCCCTGGATCAAGTGTACAAATCCCACTCTGGGAACCCAAATGCAAGAATTAAGAATGACATTCCCCACTATGTGTCGTGAATGTTACAGCTGAGCCATAGTGAGTTCTGCAGGCCTTATTTCAGCAGGATTCTCATTTCTAGGAGATGTAAGCATAATATGAGAACCGTGCTAGTAAGTAAGACTTTCCTGTAAGTACGGGTTTTGCAGAGGTGATAACTTGCTAGGTAGCTGCCTGCCAGAGTCAGGTATAGAGGCTATAAGGTTTTCCGTATTTCTTTGTGGCTATATGAAAGTACTTTGTTAAAGTGTAAATATCTCACAGGCAAGACTATTCCTACATTGATACAAGTGAAGGGTTCTTGTCTACCACTTTTCTGTGCTATGACAACAGGATTGCTTTTACCTGGCCACTTCCAAGGAGTGTGCTGGGGATGTGTGTTCTGTGCCTACCAACTTTCTCTCCTTCTTTAGGCACTCACAGATGCAGTCTGCCTGCACAGTGTACCTGTGGACACTATTAGCTTGACTATTGTGAGTTCTACACTTATAAACTCCATGAAAGTGATGTTGGCTGCAGCCTTCTATACTACACATATCCTCTTTAATGGCCTAAGGAAGAAGGAACATCAAGACAATGACCCAAGCTTATTGGCTTGTGATTCTCAGGCTATGTGCAGTTTTGGCTTCATTCTTAATCCTGCTTGTGATTTTATGAACAGCCATTCACAGCACTGGAGCACTGCTGGGCTATTTGTGACTCCTGCTATTGATCACAACCTTCTCCCCATTCTGGAGGAGATTGCTGTCTTCGTCCAGTACATAATGGAAGTTTGTTTGTTTTTCTTTAAATAGGAAGGAATTTCATTCCATCACATTCCCTAATGTAGAATCAATCTGTAGGTTGTCTTGAGCAATACAGGCTCAAGGATTATCTGGAAGCAGAGCCGCCAGATCACCTCTGAAAATACCCTCATACAGCCCAGACTACAGGAGCAAAATGTACTGCCAATGACATGTTTTGCCAACCTGACAAGTCATCAGAATTATCATTGTCTTCCTGAGCATCCAAACTAAAGCAGCAAAACTGCAGTCTCTGAGAAACTATTTCAAAGATCCAAAGTAGCCATTGTTCTGCTTCTGTTGAGTTGTATGCTAAGAAAAAATATAAATTAAATTACCAAATCATTTGAAAAGAACCTTCCTGAGGCTCTACTGGAAGTTCTTAATTTATTCCAGTCCATCATTCCCTGAACAGCAGACAGGCAAGCACTAAACTGCATATTATTTGTCTTGAATGCAGAGTGGATTGCATTTACCATAAGCACACTGCTGCTCACAACTTTCCTGGTAATGGTATATAACTGTTCATTTAAAGATAGAATTCTTATTTTCCACACTTTGTTTTTATTGGCTGCCACCTCTATTTCCCTTTAAAAGGTTTTCTTTTGAAGACCAAAACAGTTAGGCACTGCAAAGCCATATGATTTTTTTGACCAAGCAGAGAGGCACTAAATTAAGATCTGTGACTCTCAGCTTTTCCTCTCCTTTCCTGTGGTCAGCCCGTCACACAATGACTCCTGAAAACTGGAATGCTGAAGGCTTTCTGTAAGGGGACTGTAGCAGGAGCAAAATCATCGCCAGCCCATCTCCTGTCTTTCTTTCTCAAATCCAGTGCTGCAGAAATTCTGCCAAAAGTCATTCTGAGGCCATCTGTGATTCCTCATTTAGGTCACACCGGAAGTAGGAAATAAGACTACTAAGTCAATTGCAATTTTGTTTAAATCAACTTAAATTACTAAAAAATTACCTACCTGTCAAAATTAGGTTTTGTCAGGCAGCAGTTTCTATTTACCTTAAATAAGTCAGCTGGAGAGAATGAGATCATTGCAAACAGGCGGAACAGTCATAAAACTACCAGAGAAGGGTCAGGAAAAGAAAATTAGACCAAAAACATTCCAGTAACAGAGAATATGAATTGCTATGTCTTCCCTTAGGAGAATATTTGTGGGACAAGCTTCCCTGCTCTTGCAGTTTTCCCAAATTGCTGCTCTAGGAGCCTCAACCATGCTTCTGAAATCACAGAGAAACCAGAGTAGGCTTTAGGGTAACTTTTGTAAAACACACACTGACTGTCCCTCCTCTATTGGCTGAACACATGGGACACTCTTCAGTCTGTTTAATACCACAGACTTACTCAGAGGAACATTTTTTAGAGTATGATGGTTTGTTGACAGAGACACAAACACTCACATAGACTCCCAGTTTTAGACGATTTCATAAATGTATTTTTTTTCCACCAGTTTCTATTCATTCACAGTCAATGTTTATTTTTTTCTCTTTCAGCCAGTTTTCTTGAATGTCAGTTCCTTTCCATTATATTCTTTTCTGCATCTCTAAACTACAACAAAAGCAAGACTAACTTGCTCATTATGATTAATTGTCCATTTCAACACCATTCATTTGAGGCTCTGCAAAGCATTTTATAGTTTATGGGGTGACGGGACTGAAATTTTTACAAGATCAACCCCGATCAGCAGGGTTTACAAGATACACTCTGCAGGGTTTAATTCTCATCTTTTTGTGCCTATATAAATCATGCACAAATGAATGCAATGAAAGCAAAAAATGGGGATCAGACCTGGCCTTAAACCAGACCTCCCTCACTGGGCATCTGGTTTAAGGTCAGGTCAGCAGGATTTATTCACTTATGATGCATGCTGACTTCAGTAGTGCAGGATTGGAACTCGAGGCTGGAGCAATCATGTCATAAATGCCAAAGGATGGACTGCAGACAAGAACTTAGCACGGCTTTTCATTGGCACTCATGTCTTGCTGCTCAGTCTCAGTAAAGGAATGTAACTCTCCTTGTAATTTCAAAGCCACTCTGTCAATCTTTTGAGTAATTATGGGATGACAGCTGATTATACCCTGGAAATGCTTGCTAACACTATTAATCTTTTGCTCATTTGGGCTGTTTATGGCTATAATTATAAATTAGTGAATGAAACAAAGTAATTTCTGATTGGGTGGTTTGGGAAAGAACCGATGAATTTAGCTCGAGTGATTCACTTCATGCTCAGGAGTGCAAGGTGCTGAGCATCCCCTGAACTCAGCGGCTCTGAGTGCTCCCAAGGAGTGCTGAGCCTCTTGGTTACAGGCTGGATCACACCCATAATAACAAGACTGGGGCAGCAGCTCCCAGGATGGTTCTGATTGAGGTTGAGGATAAATTAAAGGGAGGCAACCAAAGAGAAACTATTTTCATACAGTGACAGTGGAATTTTGGTAACATTAAGCCTGATTCTTTGAAAATAAATTGTCTATGGAAGATTTATTACGGTTTAACTGCTAATTCAGATGTTATTAAAGAGTAGGTCAGGCAATGTGATGCATATTTTAATGCTATAATATTGCAAGATGGGCCTTTAAGCTCATTTTGATCTTTTCTTCTTAAAAAAATAATCATGTATTGCTGTTTTTTCATTTTTGTTTAGTTCTAGTATTTCACAGACTTATGATCAAGTTAAACAGACAAAAGCATTTAAATGATATATACCCGTAGAACATTTTTTTTCTGTAACTGAAAAGGGTTTTTTAAGCTTTCTATTTCTTTGGAATATATTTTTTTTAGTATTATTTTATAATAAAAGCCTGCTATTTTCAGCTACCTCTGACTCATGTAAAATATTGATATGTGTGTTGAATTTATCATTTAAAACCAGTATTTTCAATTACACAAAGTAAATAATTTAACTGGGAAAATAGGTGTGATTTACTAATCTAAGCTCAAAGATAAACTCAGGTTACCGAATGTTTATTACATGACAATAATAAAATATTATCTTAAATTAGAACAGTGATATAACCACACGAAGCCAAAACCTTCCATTTAATTCTGTCGTTTACATGTACTTGAGCCAGGCAGTGGAGAGATACGGAATTACCTCTGTGACACATGAAGAGGACAAATGTTAAAAAACTAGAAAGACATTTGAGGAGACAAGGTGGAACAGAATGGAAGAGGAATGAACTTGTTCTTCATAACAAATAAGTTATGACTACTGCAATTGAAAATATGTGAGGAGTGACTGGCATTTGCCCAGAAAAATAGACTGGATTATTGTCAAATTTGCTGTTTGTTAGAAAACCCTTTATGATCTTTACTGAGGTATAGGACTTAGGGTTCTTGCATTAAATTTCTTTTTTATTCTCAAAGTATTGCTGATAGTGAATTGTTGACAATTCTATTACAGTCTATTGAACAACTTCAGTGTTGCAATATTGCATATGAGCACTGCTGCCTCGCTTCAGCACCTGTGGAAAAGGAATGATAGTGGGGCTCCTGAATGAAGGAAGAGGTTTGAAGGCCTAAACTTGTGGAGTGAGATGAGTCTAAGAACTGGAAAAGCCCAGCAGGAGCACAGTCTGCGGTTTTCTGTTTTTCTTACAGAGTGAAATAAAGAGTAGTTGGAAGATATGAAAAAGATCTCTTAGAAAAAGATGCAAGTAATCTCTGCAAGTAATGGTCTGCCTGGCTTGTTCTACATGTTATTTTTTACAGTTTCTCTGCAAAAAGTTTGTAGAAGATGCACCATGTCTGAGTGCAGGGGAGCTGGAGAACTTGCTTTGGAGAGAAAGAGAGCTGCTGTTCCTTTCTAAGTGCTATGTAAAAGCTTTGCCACCTGTGTCTTTAATTTCACAAGCCTTTCACCTTTCCTCTTAACTGCACTATAGGTGCTAGCTGTTTAGCACATCTCAGGCAACCAACAAAGCTCTGACTACCACTGATTTACATGGGCCAAGTAAGATCTTTCCTTCCCTGCTGCAATTTGGTCCTTAGAAAGCACAGCTACAGCTTTCAAAACTCAGAGGGCAGCTTCCTATGATGGGACCTACCTCCATCTGGCTGTGATGATGGGCTTGCATTGTGATGAACGTCTGTTTCCATTCCACGTTGCACCAGTTATGCATATGTTGAAATGTTAAATTGTTGGTGGTTTAGAGAAGAGGGAAGTTGCCAGCCCTATGATTTCATACAGTTAGAAAACAGATGGGGAGAAGGAGGTAGGGATATGCAAATACAGGCAGGGAGTCACTGAGACTGTAGAAGAGGTATCTGGACATCTGAGGAAAAAGTCACTGAAGGAATGGAGATTTCTAAAAAAATCAGGAAGCTGTTGTCTCCTGCAAAGGTCCCATCGAATTTTGCCCAAATACCTGCCAGCTGAATCCTAGATGTTATTGCTGATCTGTTGAAAATGCACCGTGCCTGCAAAAAAAAAATAACAGCTTGGCAACCGACTGTGTGGTTACAGAAAATTACTTGTCACAGTGACTATCTGAAGAGAGGACTGCTTGCAGTTTCTCCCTTTTCTGGTTTTGCTCACTGCTGCTGGAGTTTTGGAACAAGAAAATCCTTTGGGCTCCCATGTTCAGAACTCCACAACTAACAGGAATGTATTAACTCCTCTCCTCCATGCCTGCTTAACCAAATTAATTAATTTCTCATGAAGAAATTGCCTTACTGCAAAGGAAAAAGGTTTTATTCTTTATGAAAAAAAAAGGTTGATAAGGTCAAAAGTCAAAGAAGCAAATGATGACAATGTGAGCCTATTTCTTGGGACACTTCTAGAAATCGTTTCTGGAGTTAACTTTTGTAGTACAACATGCATATTTGCACAGCACGTTGCACACTGTGTTATTTTTTAAATAATAAGATAAATTACTACTCAGTTCAGAGATTTAAGTGTCGAGTGAACACTTAATGTGTGAACACTTAACATGTGAACACTTAATGATTGAACATGGTAACAGTACTGGAGCTACTTGCAATAGTATCAGGAGAGTCCAGACCCTGCTAACCACCATCTGCCAGCTACGCCTTGAAGTTGGTGTTTGTGGACAACAGAGGCATTTCTAACCCTGTCTGCAGAGGCAGGGTGAGACAGAGCTCCTGGGCGTTCTGTAGCTGCTTGGGCTCAGCACTGGAGTTTCACAGGCGTTTTTCCTTCCATCAGGCAGTGTCTGAGTGAAGCCTCTGGGGGTAGGAGATGTCTTGGCCACATCTAGCACTTTTAAAGCCCCGCTTTCAACTCTGCATTGTCCTGGGGGAAAAGCTTGAATTTTCTAAGAAGTCTAAAATAGAATTAGCTTATAAGAGACCAGGGACAATAAGAAAATGTAGAAGTTTCTAGTCAAATTCCGGCTTTGAACTTGTACATATGGCTTGTGTTTGTTTCTATCACTGTTCTCTCCTCCCATTTTTGTTATGCATTAGAAATCTGTCCTTGCCAGCTATCTCCTTTTCTTTCAATATTGTATATTTACATCCTTCTTTCACTTTTCATTCTCCCCTTCTACTGTCTACCTGCACTTTTGATAACAAAATACCTCCTAGGCTTTCTCTCGGATGCTGCCTCCTGTTTTGTTCAATGGTGTCCAGGTAATGGTGTTGTTTTGGGACCTGTGTATCAATCTCTATTGAAACTAGCTGGTGCTACTGCTGCTAGAGGTGAGCTGCCGGGCTGTGGCTCCTCAGAACACTGAGTGTGGATGTGACACTCAGCTGATGATTTTACCCTCAACCCTGAAGGCTGAAGCTTTGCCTGCTTTCTGTCCCATCCCATCCATGGAAGCTGTGACCTCAGCTCCATGGTATTCTGAAATGGTGACCAACTGTCCTTTTTCCCCTCAGGCATTATAGAAGTCTGTCATTTCTTTCATGGTTGGTAGTATTAAGTGTTCTACATGTCTCCTTTGATTTAACTCCTTCTCGATGACTTCTTATTTTTCAGCTTGTTAATGACACACTCTGTATATCTCTCTGTACAAGTGTTACTGTTAAGCTGTTCTGGATCTGAGGTGAGGTTTGATCTGTTGAGGACCTCTTTCTAAAAGTTGCTTACCCATTTTCTACCTTAAGACTGTAGCTGTAGCATACTAACTACTTTTTTGCATCTTCACTTTTCATAGGCCCAATTTCTTACTTGATGTTTTGATTTTTTTCTTAAAAAAAAAAACACAAACAAAACAAACAAACAAACAAACAAACAAAACAAACAACCAAGAGAGAAGTGCTTGCAATGCCAACCCAGCCACGGCACTGCTCACCAGCAGCCAGCGCAGCCCGTGTAGTGCGGGGGAGCACTCAGCAACAGCAGAGCTGCTCCTTGGAAGAGTGAGCAGAGGCTGCACGTGGGTGAGTGCAGAGCTGTGCTCATGCTGTCTGCCGTCAGAAGATGTTTGTTCTCTGGTGAATCTCTGCCTGCCTGACAGAGGTGGCAGGAGAAAGTAGGTCACAAGTAATTGCCCAAGAACGTGAGGGGCTTTGCTGTTTTTCCAAAAGTTACCAACTGCACCTTCACCATTGTGTTACTTGGTTTTCAGCATTTTCCCATCCCCACTGCCATGGGGCCTTCTCTGCACTAGGAGCTGGTGGGACCAAGGACCTGCCCTCTTCCTTCGCTCTCTCCCTGTGCTGTGTGCAGCTTGGGCCGGACAGAGCGAGTCCTGCCAAAGAACTGTGAAAGCATCTGGGCACGGAGTGCTGGGCTTGGTTTCTGCTCTGGCTTCCAGACAAAAGCATGCTGTTCTTATTGCTGCAGGAGCCAGGGTCAAGCTTTCCCTTCTTTCACCCTTGTTTTTTTTCTTTAATTTTTACTCCGTGGGTCCAAAAAAAGCCCATCTGCTAGGCCCATAGAACCATTCAGGATAAAAAATGAGGTGTCTCCCTGACTGTTACACAAGTGGGTCTTAAATACATGAATCCTGCGTTCAGCACTAATTTTTCGTTTGGATTTAGTCCTCAGCGTTTGAACATTTCCCAGGCGCCATCCACACCCGCCAGCTGCTGCTGCACTCAACGCCCCGCCTCACACGCGGGGCACCGCTGCGCGGGGACGGCTACTCCTGCCCAGGGGTCGGGGCCTCGCGACCCGGAGGCGGCGCTTAGCGCAGAGGGGAGGGCTTGTCGGTAAAGGGGCGTGACTTAGCGGCCAAACGGGCGTGGTTTATGGGACAGCTCCGCCCCCGGCGGCGGCGGTGGCGGCGGCAGCGTGCGGCCGGGCGCGGCAGCGGCTGGCGTTGCGCTCCCGGTCGCCCTATAAAGGCTGGGGCGGACGGCAGCGCCCCGCGCTCCTGCCTGCTGCGGAGGAGGAGCGGCGCTGTGGGGTTCCCAGCACCGTTTTTCCCCCCACCTTTTTAAAATATTTATTCTTACCCCGCCCCAGCTTTGGGGAGCGGCGGCAGCCCGGCGGGTGCGGAGGGGGAAGATGGCGAGGAGCGGAGCACGGCCCCCGCGCCTCCTCCTGTTGCTGCTGCTCAGCCTGGTGTTGCCAGCGGCGGCGGAGCGCAGCCCCGGGCCCGGCCCCAGCCCCGGCCCCGCAGGTGAGGCGCGGAGCGGTGCGGGAGGGAGAGCCCCGGGCTGCGCTGCGCAGGCTGGAAGCTGCCGCGGTTATGGGTTAATTGTTTAATTCGTGTCTGTGCTTTATGGGGTCGGCAGCGCCCCAGTTTGCTGTCGGAAGGAGCGCCGGAACCCGCAGAGGGATGCAGGGCTCAGCCTAGGCACGAGGGTAAAAATAGATCCCCTGCTGGGAAGCCAGAGGCTATGCCTTTCTCCCGCCCCCTCGCTTTCTTCCCTTTTAACCGACAAGGTGGTGATGGAAACGTTTTTTTTCCGCTGCTAGGGAAAGCACAGCCTGTTTGCCTCTGCCCTAAACTAGAAGCTCCCAGAGAAGTGCACTTTTTCAGGCAAAAAGTAAGCCGGCCCTCAGAGTCTTGTTCTCTCATTGCTCCTTGTGCTTTGTAGTCTCTTTGGCTTCGAGGAGCCAGAAGGTAGAAAGCAATTTTATCTTCAGCATGTAAAATAAAAGAATGTATACAGGAAATTCCCTCAAAGAGAGGTGTCCAAACACATGTGCATCAGACTATATGCCAGAACATGTGTCCTGTGCCAGTGCTGCTTTAGAGTCTGTATTTCTGTTCTAGAAATAGAAAGGTATTCCATCCTACTGAACTGTTACCACATGAAATCTGAAGTAATTTTATTTCTTGCCTTGTTTACTCAAGAGTGTAATCAAGTTATTTTTATTATCTGGCTTAATTTTCATTTTGGTGTGCTGAAAGAAGCTCTGCTTTCTATGATCTTGTTTCCAGCAAGTTCTGATTTTTGACTGGAAATCTGCTGCCTTAGCTGATAACCAGTGTAAGAAAAAACTTGGTGTGGAGGGATATCAGGCACTGCTCATGCCCAGCTTTTGTCTTTTGCTACTTTTGGTCATTCTGCGGGGTTCTCTGAAGGCTGCAGTGCGTGCTGTTGCTCATGCTCTGAGCGCCCTGCGCACTGCTGTCTGGGCCAGGGCAGGCCTGCAGAGTTGCAGCCTCCTAGGGTGTGTTTTGGGCAAAACACTGAGCTCCTGTGTCTGTGGTCAGGGAAGTCTGTGGTCAGGGCAGGCTCCCTTGGCAGTTGGTTGTAGCAATCACAGTTACATTTGTTCTCTGCAGTATCTATTCAATGTATTTTTAAGCTAGGTGTTTTAGCTGTGGGATCTCAGGCCGATGTAAGTTAACGAACGGCTGGCCTAGTAATGAGTTCTGGTTTTAAATCCTGCTGGTGTTCAAAGGTGTGAAAATCAGACTGTAGTTCAGAGTGGTGGATGTTACACTGTGATTCAGCAAACTATAAACAGATTGCTACATCTAGATAAATAATAAAAAATAACGTTACACAAAAACAGTCTGTATTCTACTGTAGCAAACTGCTGAGTAGAAGTTACTCAAGGAGTGGTTTCTTGACCCCAGCTGCTGCCTGCTGTGTTGCTCGTTTTCATTCTAGTTTTAACCATTAAATGTTATCCCCAAGTCTGTGGTGTTTGCTTGAAGAGGAACAGCCCTTAGTGTGCTTTCAGTTCTAAGAATCTGACTTTACTTTCTAGTCTAGTCTACTTCTCTTTATTCTTTGTGTGTGTACGTGGACTCTGACTCCTGGGTGGTGAAGATATAGAAGTTTTAGTGTAGAACAATGGCATCAGTGTATTCCTGTTGCTTACCATGCAGTGCTGCAGGAGATGTGG